GACTTTAATATGTTATTGAAAACAAGTTACATACAATCAAAAAACAGCTGCGGGTAAAATTTACCCGTTGGCGGATTAGCTTAAAACTCGTCAGGCACTAGGAAGGATCACTTCTTCTTCAGGGCAGGGAAGGCTACGCAGTATGCAGGCTAATGTCCCGCAGCGGCTGCCTCTCTGGTGGACTCCGGTACTGCACAGAGAGGGGGGTGGACCGAACATCCTTTAGGGGGGTCGTCGCCTCCTTTAGGGGGGTCCGGGGGCGTGCTCCCCCGGGAAGATTTTTTTTTAAATATTGAAGTTAAAAGCATCAATCTGGTGCACTTTGAGAGCAACATTAACCCTACCTTAATAATACCTTAAAGCGGACAAAAGGCATTGGAGAACACTTATTCATCCACATACTTTAATGAAGCAAACTAATGCCTTAACTCANGTATTGCACGTCGCGGGTGCGGGGCGGGAGCGGGTCTTGAAAATCAGACCCGTGCAGGACTCTGCCTTAAAGTGGACAAAAGGCACTGGAGAACACTTATTCATTAACACCCTTTAATGAAGAAAAAACTAATGCCTTAACTCACTCAAACACAGTCGTTTACTTATTTCGGTGAAACAAATGTGCGTAGAGTTTTAAAGGATTCGGATAGTCTCACCTTGATTCTGGCGCATTGCTTATCGTTTTATAGATCTATTCTCATCCACCATCTTTGTTTGTGACGTAAAGAGTGTAAGAGTCACGTTTCTGAATCGGACACTCTGAGTGGATGCAGTCACAGCCAATCAGAGTCTGATTCAGAGGGTTGCCTGTCAGTACCGTTGCCTGTCAGTTCCGTTGCTATGGTTCCGTTGTTATGTGTACTGAAACGAGAGCCGGTATAATTCCACGCGCGAAAACAAATACAAAATTGGAATATGTTATTTTAGTGTCTTAAAAGTAAACTGAGGTATGAAGGGTTAACGTTACATCTTAGGATAATTTTTAGTCATGTTCTGTATACATACTAACATATAAGGGTATACTTAGTGTGGTTACTCCATGTTTACAAGCTATAACATTAACGTTATATCACTCTTTTTCACTTCTTACTCACTCAGCCAGAGTTCAGATATTACCATTAGATTCACAAACCTGAAACATCATTGTTGTCAGCTTCTGATACTGCTGCTGCTGCTGCAGCTTTTGGCGCCTGCTTCGATGAAAATAACTTTCTAATATCCATAACTTTATAGGCTATTAGCTTAAAACTCGTCAGGCACTAGGAAGGATGACTTCTTCTTCAGGGCAGGGAAGGCTACGCAGTACGCAGGCTAATGTCCCACAGCGGCTGCCTCTCTGGTGGACTCCGGTACTGCACATTACTCCAGAGACGTTTTCAACAAAAAAAAAGTTTTACATTTTTTTTTTTAAGTGAAACATCCGGGCATTTTCAGAAAACATCCGGGGCTTGAGCCCAAGTAGCCACCCCCTAGCGCCGCCACTGCTGGATGGCCTACCTGCCTGTCAGCCTTCCATCTGTGCACAAACTTATCTCGTGCCCTCATTGGTCATGTGCGCGTTTGTGTGTGTTGGAGGAGGGGCTCTGTAAGGAAGTGGCAGATTTTTTCCGGCTGTGTATTTTCAAATTCTAGCGCACTCGAGCTGGTTTCTCCAAAATGACCTACCCCACCTTTAAATCTAAATGACACTATTTCCTAGTTATTGACACTATTTTCCTGGTTGAATAAAAAGCAAAGATCAGAAAACGCAGGCTGATTAATAAAGAGAAAAATCAATTAAAAAGAATAAAGAAATAAGATATGATCTGAAGATTTATCTCAGAAGATGTGTCGGTTCTAATTATCCATTGAACACATTGTTGCATCTGTTGTTTCTAGTCATGGAGAGCTGTCAGGAGTCTCGTCACTCTGCTGTCAAACAGTCTGTGATTTGTTTACGTTGCTAAGGTAACAGTTCTGCTGGAGTAACCTAGGGATACTAGCAACAGAATGTTTCCATGGCTACAGTTCTGCTGAACATCTGTGTTTTATCTCGTCTCTATTTTTACTTCAGGCGGCAGTAAAACCCCTGCACACTCCGACGGGTGTTTTTCCTCAGCAGCTGTGTTATAACATAAAAGTGATCATTACTGTTAACCTGCGATGTAATTAAAATGAGTACTGACATAATGAGATGTGTTTTTCTCTGTTTAACAATATTTAAAGAGGCACTTGTTAATATTTGTTGTTAACGTTGTGCACCAAAACACTAAAGCACATTTAACAGAGTGTTTAATGTCTTAAACTCTCACTGCTCATGAATATTATTTAGCTGCAGGAGAAGCTAAATAGTCTGTTCAACCCCCTGATTGTTCATCTTCGTGCACATGACTATTGAACACACTGAAACATGTCTGTTAATATTTACCTGTGTTGTAGAACAAACTTGCAATGAAGGTGCAGTTTCTGAAGAAGGTGTGTGTGGAGGTGATGTCCTCAAAGTAGCACTCCTCAAACACTGAGTCTTCAAACACCATGGACTTCATCTTCAGGTTCAGGAACCTAACGAACACGTCAAAGGTTAAACTTTTCTGTTCTGCAGTTTTATTGTTGTGCTTTATTGTTGATCATTAGAACATAAATCTGAATAAAACGGCAGCCCACAAAACACTCACTTGTCATTGAAAAAGTGTCCTTGGCGATGCACTTGGTTTTCCATGGTGAAGTTCAAAGTGGCGTGATCCATTCGCTCCTTAGTGAAGGTCTTTGTGCGTGAGTCATATTCCTGCCTCTGGATGTACTTGATCATGTCTGGGAACCACACTGTCAGACCGTAGTAGCTGCAAAATGTTGAATTTTGAACGATGTTAAGTAAAACGATTAAATAAACCTAAGAAGTGAACAAGAATCCCCACTTAGAAAATGTTGTATAAGTCTATACTCTACCTGAAAGACATGGTAAACCAAACAGCCATGAGCATGAAAGTGGTCCGTTTATATTCTGGGCTGAAGCAGGCAAGGATGTTGTTCCTAATCTGCAACACGTAAAGAGGAAAACACACAACTTTAGAAAAAAGAAAGCATTGGAGAACATATTTTTAAACCCCTCAGAAGACCCATTGTGTATAATCTTAGTTTAATCTGATGATGTGGTGATATTTCGACTGATATTCCTGAGCAGTATTGTTCAATTTACAAAGAATTAACTTTATGAATTGGACCTAAAACTTGAACACAGCCAGGCTTGTTTTCCCCCTTCTGGTGATATCTGTTTTTGTCTTCCACATGAAACTTAGTTACAGCTTCAACATTAAGAGATGAGACTTTTTGTAGTGGGCATTAAGCAGGTGGTGCAGTAGTAGATTTTGTAAAAGATGGAGGGTGTAGGCGTGTAGCAGAACGTAGGCTGAGTGCAAATTAAAATCTTGCTGGTAAAGTTTCTGCCTGAAGCAGTGGTGCTGCAATAATGTGCAACACAAGAAAAACACAAGTTTAAACAAGAAAAAGTCATTTAGTAACAGATTCGACAAATGATTACTACATTTAAAAGTAGGGAACAAAAGGCAGAAAAGAAAGTCTGAATGTGAATATGTCTGAATATGTAATCATTTGTGAATTTTAAGTCTAAATAGTTCACAAAATCACACTTTGGTGAAAAAACGAATTCAAAGGGAAAAGATGGCATCTTCAACCTTCAGCTACTGTTGGACTTGCTGCCACCCACGCCTTCCTCCACAATGTTTATTTCCACCGATGCCTTTTACAGCCAGCCTCGAGCTGTAAAAGGCCACAGCCTCATACAGAAATTATCTCAGGAGTCTTTTTATGTCATGCTTTTAAAAGTTGTTTGCAGTTTTGGTTCAGAACTTGTGAAAAACATGTCGTCTCCTTCACTGACCTGATGGGAGAGGCTCACGATCTTCAGCCTGTAGCGCTGCCAGACCGGAGTGTCGGTGCCAATGTCCGACAACTCATCCATCTGTTTCACCGTCTTAATTGTGGTGACCTTAGATAACAGAGACGCAAGTCCTTCAGCCAGATGTCTTAAAATGAATTATGATGGTAACATTTTCTAATTACAAATAGCATTTCTTCCTCCTGCAGCTTTGAGTTTTCCATGAAGAAACGATAACACAGAGACAAAAAGGATAATGCAAACGTACATTTCCCCTTGTGATTAGAATGCATTACCATTCATTTATACTAAACACGTGCTGCATATTTATTGTTGATTTAAAACCTGGTGAAAAGGGAACAAGTGTGAGTCATAAATAGTCAGGTGAAGGTCAACAAATATCCTTGACAGGACACAAAGTCTAAAGACGATTTTGCATATTGAAACATTGCTATAGAGAGGAATAAATCATTTATTATGAGAAGTACTGTGTGCAGACCTCCTTCACGCCCTGTCAATCTGATGACTGAGACGTGGAAAAGTTGCTCTGTTATTTTAATTGGGAGCTATCTTTCTGTCTGTACAAAAGGATCACTAGAATATCTTTGAAAAATGCTACATTTTGGACATTAAAAACGTGTGGTTGTTGTTTTCTTTAAAGAGTTTAACTGTCTTTAGGTCAACACACTGAACAGTAGAGAAGAAACATAGAAACAGATCGACCTTATTTATCCTTTTTTTGATTATTAAAAAGGAAACTATTTATATGCACCTGAGTATTTGTTTAATGAAATCTATGTTTAATTTGCATTAAAGCACAGCTAATTTATCGTTTGAATATATGTCAGACAAGTGATAAGACTGTGAAAATGTTTCAAGCTGTCCACTAGAGCAGTGGTTCCCAACTTGGGGGGCGCGTAAAAGATCGCAGGGGGGGGCGCCAGGCCTCAGATGATTTGTGGCGAAATATCATATTTAGACTTTTTTTTTATTTACTTTTTTTTTTTTACATATAATTGTGAGGCAATACATGATTGTCACTAAAAGCCTTACAATAAAATATAAAAAATAGGGCTGTCAAACGATTAACATTTTTAATCAGATTAATCACAGCTTAAAAATGAAATAATCATGATTAATCACCATTCGAACTATGTCCAAAATATGCCATTTCTTTATGTATATTGTTGTGGGAATGGAAAGATAAATGAAAGAAGGCAGATATATCCATTTCACATACAGTAGGCCTATGTATGTTTATTATAACATTGTTCTGTGTGGTCAAAAATGACAGACAGCCCACACACCTATCAATCATCAAACCGTGAGGTCTTATTTCATTACGTGTTGATTTCTATCCCCCCCTCCTTGTGTGTGTTGGGAGGGGGGGGGCGCAACTTCCAACAGGAGTCATTTGGGGGGGGAAAGGTTGGGAACCCCTGCACTAGAGACTACGTTTTAAAAACTGCAGCAAAGAATAAAAACGATCAGTGACCTTTAGTACATCATTCCCAATTTCTTCCTTCTCCGACTAACCTTTCTTCTTTTGCTGTCGGATATCTCATAAAGGCCTAAAACAAAAAAAATTCAGGGATACTCACAGAAAACACTTTCTCTGGGTGTCCCTTTGCTCGCATGTTAGTGTCGTGAACTTGCTTCAAAATCATCCAGCCTTCGTCATGTTTGCCGTTCTGTTTAAAAGAAATATAAACGTCATACTGTGTATATCTTTCTGTTATTTGAATGGAAGTAACCACATTAGTTTAAAGATTACAAGAAAAAATTATCTTTACTCAGGTTATTTCACATTTGTAGTATCCATCTCATACTGTTAGACCGTCAATCAGCACATCTGCTCACCTCTAAGTAGAAGCGTGGGCTCTCTGGCATGGCACTGAGGGCAGCGATGGCTGCGACAGCGGGAAACGCGCACACTAACACAAACACACGCCAGCTATGGAACTGATAGGCCGAGCCCATCTGGAAACTCCATCCTGAAAAGACAAAAGATATTTGCTAATAATAGTCAAATCTTACACTTTGCCCTACAATTGTACAATAAAGGGCATCAGATGAGGTTGAACACCAAGTCTTTATAAGGCACAGGCTGGAATATATTTAATTTGGTGTGACACTGAATGAACAATGTTCTTATGTGTCCTTCCTCCAGGGGAGTCAGAGGTCAGCCGCAGTGCAGCGTTTCTGGAAAGATGCTTGTTTGCAAAAAAGCTTAAACCAGTAGGATTTTACCAGCTAAAACTGCGGCTCCAAATTGTGTGTCAACAGTTTCCTTACTGCACAAATATCTACATTTAAGAACAAGATGATATGATGAAAACAACTCTCATGTTTGTCCGCCACATATAAAGCTAAAATCAGCAGCCAGATACATTAGCTTAGCAATCAAATTGGAAACGCTATTTCCAAAGAAAATAACATTAATAATTGCTCAGAGGTATATTGAGTAATTTAGGAAGCTTAAATGTATGTGTTGAGTAGATTTTGTAACACTTGAACAGAGCCAGGCTAGCTGTTTCCCCCTTTTTGCAGTCTGTGCTAAGCTAACTCGTCGTTATAACCTCGTATAGTATGTAATGGACATATATGAGAGTGGTATCGTTCTTTTCATGTAACTGTGAGAAAGCAAATGGGTATATTCCCTAAAATCGTTAACTAGTGCTTAAAGTGTTTATCAAAGTTAGGACGATCATCTAACTTGAACATTAGCAGAGGTAGCTAACAATACTCCTATATTCAGGTGTATAGTTGCTGTACTCACCGTAATGTGGGATAATAGCCCAGGCCATGGCAGATGCGTATATCCCGCCAATCATCCAGAACATGCAGAGCCAACTGAGGTGCTCTCCACGTTTCTCCTGGGACAGGAACTCAGAGTAGTAGGAAAACACGATGGGAATAGAGCCACCAATCCTACAAAGATCAGAAACAAACTGAGTTGAACAGTCCTGTTGTTTAAGAGTTCAAAAACACAGTTTAGGTTGAAGGATTAACAGCATTTGTAATAAGAAAGAAGACATTAAATGATTTGATATGAGATATCCTGAAACACAACTAGGCCTACGGCTCACACCTATTATTTCACTTATTTCCTTTTAGTTAACTGTATTATGGTTTATATGTTTTTGTCAGTGCATCATAATGGAGAAGCAAAATGATTCTAGCAACTAAATATGAGAGTTTTAGAAAAAAAAAGAAAAAAAACATCCAAAGAAGCAGTTAGGTGTCTTAAACACTCACACAGGGAAAATATTTTCTCCCTTAAAAAAAAGTAAGTTAGAGTGAGGTATAGTGTGTCAAAAATAATTAGGTAGTGTAACAAATATCCCCAAATAATGAGTGAGTACCTCAAGAAAAGTAGGGAGCATTTTAAAATATGAGGGCAAATTTCTAAATTATTAAAAGCTTTCCAAAAACATTTATGAAGTACCTAAAAATAAGGAGAAACTTTCTTTAAAAAAAAAACATAGTAGGCTATGTCAAAATTATTTTTGAAATACTAATTCATTATATCAAGGGACTTTTTTCATCACATTGGCAGAAATGGGCTTTCATAACGGAAAGATCACATCAGAATAAGAAAATATGAATACAGTATTTCTTAATTTACCCAACACCCGAGAGGAGTCGGCAGAACAGAAAGGTGCCGTATCCCTGGACGAAGGAGGAGAAGAAGGAGAATACACTGTTGATAGAGAGACAGATGAGAAGAGACTGGCGGCGGCCTATCCGGTCGGCCATAGCCCCCCAGAGGAAGGCCCCGACCATCATCCCAAAATATACAATCAGTCCTGTGGAGAGAGCAGAGGAAATTAAACTATTAGAGCAGGGATGGGCAAATGGCGGCCCCCACCTCCTCTTTTTGTGGCCCTCAGATTAATTTATAAACAACGTAATTAATAAAAAAATTATAATTATTATTTTTATTTTTGTACTTGTGGTACTGATACCGTCCACTAGAGTCTAGACTCCTAGTTAAATCGCAAGCTGCGTTCATGATTTCGTACAGCAGCCAAATACCGCGAAATAATCTGTGAAACTTTTGTGTGTATTGTGTTTGTTTCCCAAGCTTCAAAGTTGTATTTATCATCTGAACAAGTTTAATATTCTAAAAACCAAGACTTTATTGTTTATTTGAAATCAGATGAAAACAAACTGTCACGGACCCTGCCGTGTTATCTATGATTACTATAGGCCTACGCTTTTCATTCATAATTTCAGCTGGAGGGAGGGGGAGCGGCGCTGAGAAACAACAGGGCGCGGGTTGACCGGTGCCTGTGTTGACATTCCCCTTATTGTGGAATAAGGGGAATGCAGAGACAGGCTACAAGTGTCTTAGGTTCAAGTTAGACAACTAATGTCTGGGTTAGTGTTCATGACTTCATGTTTATGTCATTTTAATGGTTAATCTCAATGCACACACATTTTCCGTGCTTTCCAATAGTTTGAAATAGTTTTATTCCAATTTAAATAACCTGTTCAATACAAACATGCCACTTTAAAAATTAAATAACATTTCTGTGAACTGATATTTGTTTTGTGAGCTTATTAGAAGATGTTCCCTGAAAGATTGTAAAATGTCAATGAAGATGTCAGACTTAATTTGTTAATAATAACATACAATACATGGAATTTGTGTGTGTGTTCCAAGTGAATCTGCGGCCCCCTGGTGGCCAGTACATTATGTGGCCCCCACCACCATCCAAGTTGCCCATCCCTGCTCTAGAGTCTTTTTTTCAGCTTTTTGTGAGAAAGTGAAAACGGGTGATTCTTTTGTTTTTAGGAACACCCAACCTCTATAAATTATGATTTTTCTCAATTGCAGTTCCTTATATAGATATTTATCAGTGGGCATCAGATAAATCTAGTTTTCAAATCCGTGTATCTACCGTCCAATTGTTTTTCTTTATTAGACACGTAAACGGAAGAGCGTCTGAGAGGCGTTTTTGCTTTTTGCTTTTTACCTTACTAAATGGTCAAATGGTCCTTGGAGCGAGGGGCGGGGCGAAACTCACGGAAGTGATTTCAAAACAAAAGCACTCGTTTGTTAAAATCACACTTTGAATCAGTATCCTGCTGAATGACCGGTGATTATTATAAAGAAGGGGAATTTAGCGATCACAACGAAAACGGCCAAGGCACATATTGAACACAGAAAATGAATGTTATTAAGGGCTGTAAATATAATAAGCCTCTGTCTAACATTGTTAGGAGATTTAAACTATACAGCGGTTCTGCACTGCGGTCACTCAGCCGCCTCTCGCGTTTGTTTTTTCAAATCAGCTGCTCTTCATTTTTCCTGCTATATTTGACGAGTGACACAAATATTTGTTACCACAAGTTCTTAAGGAAACTGACACTGTTGGACTCGGTTCTAGTTTGACTTCTACCAGAAATAAAATGAAGTACTTTTACTGTGTAGGCTACTTTGTGAGTAATCCTCTGTCAAAGTCCCCTCCTTACATAATGCATGTTTTTCTGCTATCTTTGATGAATGATAAAAATATAATTTTACCATTAGTTCTTAATGAAATCGATACTGTTTGACTTTGTATTAGTTAGCCTACTACTTACAAATACATTGAAGTACTTTTACTGTGTATTTTTTGAGGAATACTCTGTCAAAGTCCCCTGCTGAGACCAAAATCAAGCCACTTCTGCTAAGTTTGATGAGGGAATTATTTTTTGTTGCCATTAGTTCTTCGTGAGATTGATCCTGTTGGACTCAGTTCTAGTGAAACTACCCCCACAAGTACTATGAAGTACTTACTGTGTACTGTTCCAGTACTCCTCTGTCAATGTCCCCTCCTGAGCCCAAGAATGCATGTTTCTCTGCTATTTTGAATAAGCGTTAAAAAACCTTTCTTCATGAGACTGATATTGTTGGACAGAGTATTTTAAGAGATGTGACTGCACACTGACACACTCTGTCACTCTTGTTGGCCTCTTATGATGCTGCTGTCTTTTAATATATGATTATTTCTCTGCTCCTAGTTCATTCCTCGCAGATTCTTCCATCAGTCCCAGTCATTGCATGTCAGTCAATAGAGCTTCGAAAAATGTGTCCCAATTCAACTAAATGTTTTTTTGTAAGTGAAGGCCAGAGCTAAATTATAGATTGTTTGATTGTGTAATTATAAGGTGAGAGAAAAATAAATCCACATC